CCCCTTGGGCCAAGCAACATGGAGGGGAGTGGGTAGAGTAAGGAGGGGACTTTAGGAGAAGTGAAGCAGAAAGAATCTTTGTGACAATGACAACTTCAGAACTCTAGATAACCAGCCTGCTGGGTGTTTCTAAACCTTCTGAGGGGAGGTGAGTCAGTGGAGCGGTCATGTGGAAAATCCCCTTTCTCCTCAGTGCACGGCCATTCCCGTGCTAAGGTAAGCCCTCATCCCCACCAGGCCGGGATCCCATCAGGCTAGGAGAAAACACCCGTTTCTGGGAAGGAGCTGTATTTGTGTAAACTGGGAGGACTGATGGGTTGGGTCATGTCATTCACTTGACAACTTCTGGTTTCCCAGAAGGACTCAAGTTTGTCCAATTTGCTGGCACTTCATTAGACAGAGAAAGGGCCCGATCTGGCCAGACCACAGTGCTGTGGGGACATGGGGGAGGGAGGCTGGGCATCCCTCCATCCACATCTGCCCAGTGTCCCCTGTGTGCTTTGGGGCAGCATTCATACTTGGAAGCTTCCAGCAGCACTCCTGCCAGCCCAGCACACCTCGGGTCCGTGGAGCCTTCCTGGGGCACCGTTCTCGGCAGGTTTGCTCGACCTCAGCCTCAGCACCTGGCAACTGTGCCCACCAACTCCGATGGGCCTGTGCACGTGCCAGCCGGGCAGCCAGCAGATACGACAACTGCTCTGCTTGTGTCCTCAGACCAAGGGATCGCCCGCCGTGGCACGGGCAGTCTGCCCCCTCGGCCAGCCTGCCCCCTCGGCCAGCACTCCACCGAGGATGGGCTGGGGCACTCATGGCTGCTGGCGCAGGAGTCCTACCAAAGGTCTGCAATTTGGGGAGCCAAGATTCAAGATGTGCTATTTATTTTCACGCAGGCAGCTTAGTTCTTGTGACTGTTTTCTGCAGTAGATGTGGTCTGATATCGGACCCCACCTACAGAAAGGGCCACCTTATCTTCACATGGTACATCCTAGCCAGAGCGCTGAGGCAGAGAGGCTAAGCCAGGCTGCAGTGTGAGGAATGTTCCAGGCACTCGCTCAGCATCACTGGAGTGGGGAAGGCTGATTCTACTGCCTTGCCCCAGTTATAACAGATCAGCCAAAGCTTCTTCAACGAGCTCTTGTCTCCTGATCTGGGGGAGCAGCATTTCCCGGGAAATGGCCACTTTCCCCTGAACATCCTTCCTGCTTTTCCAAGGGAAGCAGGGAGGCACAGCAGGTGATTGCCTCAGGAAGTTTTTGTCCCAGTGAGGATCTTCGCTAGGGCTGTTGTCTCCTACCCAAATTGGAAATGACTGCTGCCAGGTGTGTAAGAAACTCCCTGGAGGACAGAATGAGGAAGTGTGATCATTTATGTTTGATTTAGAAAACGAAGGTCCAAGTGCAGATTGGCAGCAAGAGGTCTTTCTTCTTGCCAATTTCCATCACTGAAAGGAGAGCACAATTTTTAAGATGTGACAGTTGTGGGGGGAGTGGGGACAAGGAGCATCTGGACCAACTCTGAGAGCGAAGCAATATGAGGCAAGCTTGAGCCTTTGACTGAGGGAGGGACTTTTGGATTTGATTCAAAAATAGGCTAACCAAACGCCCTGGTTTGCCTGGGATAGTCACGGTCTCTGCCAGCCACCCAAGTTTAATTTTCAGCAGTGCCCCCTTTCACTTTAAAAAAAGTCCAGATTTGGCTGATAAGTTCTATGATCACCCTATGCCAAAGGAGAGAGAGAGAGTGCTATGGCTGGAAATGAATCCAGAAGAGTGACAAGTAGATGGGGGATTCTGAGAAAGTTGATTTTGCTGAGCCTGAAGGAAAGAGGCAGGCAGTCGAGGCCGGCCCATTCTCAAGTGTGTTCAGAGACATAGGCTTGTTGGCCATGTCCAGGCATAGATTCAAAGAGTGTGGATGCTGGAAGGGTCTCTGGCGGGTCATCTAATTCATTTCCTCTTTCACCACAAGAGGACACTGGGCTAAAAGAGATAGAAGTGACCTGCCCAAGCTCACACCTGGGTTCCAGTAGCATGGGGACCAGCCTTGCGCCTGGAGGGTCAGGCCCAGGTCCTCTGTTCTGGGAGAGAGGGAAAGGGATGGCTCTGAAAGATGCTGTGGAGGATTAATCCTGTACTTCGTGAAACATGGCCGCCTCAGAGCCAAGGGAGCCACAGGCTGTGCCGCGGATCTGAGGCTGAGGAGGGAAGACGAAGACACGTGAGGTTCAGACCTGCCGGGCACGAGTGGGTGTGGGGCTGGAGCTGAGGGGTAACGGGGCTGTCCGGGGCAGTGACCGCAGAAGACCGAAGAGACTAAATGGCCAGTAGAACTAAGAACGAGTGAAGAAACAGGTACATATGGACATGAATGGGGTCACATAAGTACTTTATAGAATTGAAATCTTTTCTTTGGTTCAAATTATAGCGAAATCGCACAAAAAGGCAAACCCTAGTGACCGCTGTCTTATCCCTTGGCACGTCTTTCCTAGTCCCTCAACACGGGTGCAGTGGTGGGAAAAGTCTAAGTCAGTAACAGCCTTGACCTCTACTTGGTAGGTGAGGAAACTGAGTCATGAGGAAGCCAGCTCCCTTCCATCTCATGGTCCTCTTAACAAATGGGGTGTGTTTAGGAACAAGCCACAAGAGCGATTCTACCAGACAAGCCACAAGAGCGATTTTGTGGTTTCACTGCAGTTTGACCTCCCATGTGGCTCTGGTGTGGTGGAGGGGGTGAGGTGGTAGACTTTTCTGTGAATCTACTCATCTGGATGGAGGTCCCAGGAAGAAGCCCAGCTTGAGGCTCCAGAGACCTGGCTTTCTGTTCCCAGTTCTGCTGTCTGCTAATTAGCGGTGTGAGGGTGGGGAGTCACTTCTCCTCTCTCTTCTACTCTTCTTGGTTGTCAGATGAAGGCTCTAGATACAACAGCACTGCATGCAAATATCATTCAAAAAAAAAACAAAAAACCCAGCGTATTTGGTTCAGAGCTATAGTTTTTGCCTCCAACAACTTGTCACCCAACGAAGTTGAATTAAATATTGAAGTTTGTTGCAGATCATCTTCAAAGTGAAGAGCTCAGCCCAGTAAACATATAGTAGACTGTAAGCTGGTTGTAATCAAAATGATCTCCTGTCACCCTGAGCAAGTTCTCCCACATAACATCTACAAAAATCCTGCACACCATTGTCACACCCACGTAGTGCTCTCTGATACGTGACATTAGAAACCTCAATCCCCTGAAAAAAAAAATCATAAAATAGTTTCAGTATATATGAACTGAGCACACATTTTGTTCAGTGAAACTTCTTTGATGATGCCTGTTCAAATACCTGCAAATATTGAGAAAACACCCACAGACATCGTCCTTGGCCACCCTGGTACATTTTGCAGAAACCAACAGGGAAGACAGAAAAGACTGGATGTCCCTGGAGATCATGCACATTCCAGGACACCTCAGGCTATCTTAACCTTCCTCTGCTACCTGCACCTGCTAGTTTCTGAGTCAATGTTCCAGAGAAGCCAGGCTGTGGCAGTAGGAGAGTCAGCAGGGAGGTGAGAAACTGAGAGGAGAAGCAGGATTTGGTGGCAACTCCTTCCACCCTCTTGCTAGAGACGTAGAGAAGCTCAGAGTCACTGAGGCATCCCACGTCCCCAGCAGTACCAAGCAGCACACAGGAGTGTGTTTGGCACACAGAAGCAACACTAGACAGAATAGGAAGGAAGGGCTAAGAGGTTCTGTGCTCTTGTCACCTTGAATAGTGACCGGGGGTCAAGCAGTGAGTGTCTGGGGCCCAAGAGCCGCTTCAAGGCCACAGAAATACAGGGAGGAAAGGTCCTTGGGGAATAGGTGTCAGGTCAGGAGACTGAGAACTAACTGTGAAAAACCTCAAAATACTGAGAAAAGCTCGTGTGCATGACTTGAAGCCGTTCAAAGTCGTCGTAGCATACCCAGGACTCTGGTGGAGCAGGTCTCCCACACAAATCCATCATTCGGTATCAGCACTTCTTTATTATAAAATTAACATCACTGAAAGCTTCGAAAAAAATAAGGCAGACCAAAAATATCACACCTTAGGCAAATGAGTTGGAAATCCCTTATAGTGACGCCCTATTTTTTCCACCCATCTCTAAAGTTGGAGGACACCTGGTATGGTGTTTAGGTAAGAGATACAGCTCCTGGACCACACGGTTTCCTGATGGTACAGAATTGAAGTGACGTCATGGAAATGCATATGTCTCAAGGTCACTCTAAGTATGGTTTCTAGGTGAAAACATGAGTCTTAGTCATTGGTGGAAAGGTGTTTGTGTGCCTTCGTGACCTGCTGGTATCCATGGCTCTCTGCCTTCCAAGGCAAAGTTTTCATTAAATTCATTCAGGCTACTGGCCAAGTTTTCTCATACTTTGGGCTCACCTGGAGGTATAACCTAAATGTAGGTTATACCACACCTGTGCCCCTTTGTCATTCAGAAGGAAATAAAACAACTGCTACCCAGAAAGAGCGAAGTTTGTCTTCCGCTCAAGGGCAAGGAATCTATGACATAAGATGCCCACTCCAGTGGTTAATCTGAACAGTCTCATTTGTGTAGCGTTCCCCACGGTGACGAAAGCGAGGATGTGGCAGACACAGAACGTATGGAATCCTTTGTCTTAATTAAAAAGTACAGCGAGAGTCATGGAATTTGGCCAAGCCTCATAAATCTGCTCAAAGAATCAAGATTCTGTCAGATAAGCTTAAATAGAACCAACGAGGCCCTCTGGAGAATTAAAGAGATTCCCTGCTAGTAGCTGACACCCACTCTCCTGTCACTTTGCTGCACCCCACGGACGGCGGTTGTGCTCATTAACCAGCAACCCTCCTACCCGCCGATGACAAGTATATCCCCGCGGAGCCCAGAACTCAGGGATGATAAATTTACTCCTGCTTGTAAAAATGAAACTCTCCTCAGGGCAATAAAAGTGCGGCGAGCCTTTAAGGAAATCAGTACTTTGTCTGGTAACCTACCTTCATGAACAAAGACTGGTCCTCTTGGTCAGGACAGCTCCTCACTGCCAGGCAGAACTGCTCTAACGTAACTGGAAGGGAAGAAACAGGAAAGGTGAATGACCTCCCTTCTGCCCCCGAGCTCCTCTGGTGTGGAGAGGAACATGGTAGTTATAACAGATACAGGGGGCATGCTACTCCCCATCTTTCCCTGGTGATGGGATAGATAGAGCTCTCCCTGTCCTCGGAGTGGGTGACTTCTGCACCACTGCGAGCTGGGATGACAACATCAGAGCACAGGGTCATGCCCATCAACCGAACTCTATCCTAGACCTCCAGGAGGTCCTGCGTTCTGCCACCAATGACCAGCTGGTCCCCCGAAGACCACACCAAATCCCTGTTTCGTGTGATCTCCATTTAGAGAACCACCTGCTTTTGTAAATTTGGCTGTGGTAGATTTTCTGTCTCAGTCTTCTGTCGTGATTCCCATGAATTTAAGGCCTCTCTTGGTGTGAACATGATAATGGTCCCCAGTGTTGACTCAAGCAAATCCCCCAAACTCCCCTACGTATTTCAAGTCACATTTCCCCAACCATCCTTCTCCAACAGAATGGCAGAGAGAAACTCAGGAAAGCTCACAAAAACAGAAAACAAGAACCTTTTAACGATCCATTTAAATTGGCCATGAAAGCTCTAGGAATATTAATTTAGACAATTTACAGAAATCACATTCCCTTTCTCTGTCACGGTGGCCTGGCTCCCATCAAAAGCCCACACAAGTGGGCACCCCCTTTTTATTTTGGTCAAACAAAACTCCAAACCACACACTGCCTTCCCTGCACACTGTTTTGACTATATTACTTCACTTTTAAAAATGCTCCCATGAGTCCCTACCACCCTCAGATTTAAATCTACTTGTTTAACAGGCATTAAGGGTTTAACTTAGTCAACCATCTAGATGAGCCTATTATTTCTAGACTCAGAGCAGTGTTCACTCTCTACCTGCCATAACCTTTCACCACTGTCTGCTGGGCACAGTCCCACCACTTGCGTTGGAGCAGAGCAAAGCCCAGCCCTCCACCGGAACCTTGCAGGCCTGCCATCCAACCGTTCAAAGTCACTGACCACCTGGGGTCCAGCCCAACCTCCACAGAGTCCACAAAAGTGGGCAGAGCTACACCCAGTCTCATGACTGAGGGAAGGCCTCATTCCATTGTTCTGACCCCAAGGATGTCTGGATGTCATGTTTACAAAGACAGATATTTTGAAGAGAATTATATTATCAAGAATGAATTTTCATCAAGCGTTGTCTGGGTAATTTTTTTGTGTTGTGTTCAATGTTACCTAATTACTTAACCTAATGTTAGGTAATTACCTAACCTGATGTTACCTAAACACAAATCTTTAGACAGTTTCTATCTATGACTAAATCACTCTATGCAGTTTTAACTTTTATCAGTTGTATCTTGTACTGATGATTTTTTCCACATCTAAATGTTTGCTCTGATCCAGTCAAAGTGTGCTCAGAACCTAGAGAGGGGTCAGGGTTGCCTGCTTTACATATATATGCCCGCCCAGTCATCAACGGGCTAAAACAAATAGTAATTACATAGAATCTTAAATTATTTTAAACAATCAAAAAATTTTACAAGAGTTAAGAGTTGAAATACAATACTTTCCCCATAAAAGGAGCTCAACAGAAACTCAGCTCGAGATAAGAACCCGGGCTAGGCTGAGTTCATACGAATGCTTTTGCTCTCACCGATTCAAAACACCCCCCACCGCCATGGAAGACTCTGGAAGCAACAACCCCTCTCCCTGAACATTGTCATCGGCTCTGTTTTGGTGTGACAAAATATTGAACTCTATTGTCTGAGGATGAATCAAGAATAATCTACAAATTCAGGTGCTAGGTTTTCTTTAGACAACCTTTTTTGAAGGTGGCTATTTCATTTGGTAAAGGTTTATGCTGTGACTTGGAATCTTCCTGAGCACAGGCCATTGGAATCTAAACCCTTGCTACTTGCTGCCTTGGGGGGCTCCTGGATTCTTGCCCTCACCTCTCCTCCTCTGTGGTGACCCCAGTGCCATACCTCCAACTGTCTATGGCTGGACTCCACTGTGACACTTAGTTGTTCACAAGACGTGGCAACCAGGCACGACAGCTGTTTCTTTGAACCAGTGGACTTCCATACCCCGCCAACCCTTCCCTGAATTTCCCCATTTCTGTGGTACTGTCATCCACCAGCCAGTAGGCCCAGATCTCTGATTCTTCCTTCCCGTCACTGAGCCTCCTAATGCTTCTTGCACAACGTCTCCCCGATGCACCCCTTTCCCACGGCCCAGGTGCCACTTTGACACTGCATAATGCTTCTGCCTCGCTCCCCAACCTGGATGCCCCGCCCCCCTCTCCTGGCCCTGTGGCCACTGCTGCGCCCACAGGAAAACTCGCACTGCCAGGGCTCTGCCCGCACCTCCTCCCCTCTGCATCTCAGCCCCTCTTCCCTGGTGCAACCCCCGCCCCCCGCCCCCCGCTCCCCGCCGCCAGCTCCTCGCTATCATTAATCCACGGCTGGGTTCCTGGCCACACGATCCACTCTGTCTTCTTCCCATCTGCTCAAACCCTACCCTTCTGGGCCCAGCCAGTCAAGGCAAAGTCAGACAGACCTCACGCGTGGTCTTTACCGCCACTCCCAGCCACATGTTCTTGGACGAACTACATGCTCTCCCTGAGCCTCAGTTTCCTATAGTCACCTGTGGAGACCAGCGCCTGCCTTGTGGAGGTGGTGTGAGGGCGAAAGGAGTGGCCAGAGGCCAAGGCACAGTGTCAGGCACGGCATTGGCCCCCCCACTCTGCACCTCGGAGAAGCTTTCTCTTTCCCCATCACACGGACTTCTTCCCGGCTTCATACCTTGATGGGACACATTACACGCTGGCTTCTTCTCTTTAAATTGTTTTTTGGCTGATAGGTGCACACGCTGCCTTGTCTGAGGAAGGAGCCTCCAGAGACAGCCTTGTGACTTTTCCCGAACTCTGGTCTATCCCTGTCGTGTCCAACGTGCCCAAAGTCGCCACCCAGTTTTGTGGAACTGGACTGAAGGGCCCTGTGGGAACACAGGGCCCCACAGACGGAGCTTGCCCCTAACTGGCTGGCTTGAGTTCGTGAGGCCCGCACCTGTCACCCCGTCTACACAAGCAACAAGAGCCAACCTTGGCCACAGGGCACCAACAGAAGCAGAGCACACGGATTGCCCAGTTGTTTTCCCCATGCCTCAGATGTCAGTGGGACGTACGTTCTCATGCCAGCAGCAGGCCTACCACTCACCTCGCCCCACTCTGATTGCTACCAAATCCCCAAAGAAGGGAGAGGGCATAGACACAGCCAGGTCCTCTCCGCCAGGCCTGTGTGGCCACCGCACCCAGGCTACCTAACTCACCGACAAGGCCTGCTCAGAAGCATCTCGACAAGGTTCACATTTCATTCCCCTCCCGCTCCCCTCCCCGACTTTCAAATAAGAAAAAAACAAACCAAACCCTCTAAAAATGAAAGCATCTGTGGTATCTACCTTCCTCTACCCCTGCTGCTGATTCAACGGGGGCTGACTGCCTGGTGAGAATAAGGCCGGCAGCCAAACTCAAGGCTCATGGCCGCGGTGCGAGTCTCCTTCTAAGACTCTGGGTGAAATGTTTTGGATTCGACGTCTATTGTTTAAACTGCTCTTCAGTGTCCCCAGTGCAGTTCCAGCAGTGGGGGGGGGGGGGGGGGTTCCACCTGTCTGAGGACAGTCAAGTTCCCTTGGTTCAACCCTTCCACTCAGTGTGACAGAGATTGGCCTGACAATAGCGGGAGAACAACAGATTTTGAGATAACAAGTCGCTTTGAGGTGGGGGCGGGGGGAGCCGAGAAAAAGTGACCCGATTGAAGTAAGAAAATGAAGTAAGTTAGAAATTCAAGTAAGGAAATGAAGTAAGAAAATGGTAGTTTGGGAGACAAAACTTACAGGCCAGCATGAAATACTTCTGTCTCCCCTTGTGAATATGGGCTGCCGTGGGTTCGTAGGTGAGTCCAACAGCCTTACCCATGCAGCCATTTCTGGAAAGGTAGACAGGACTTTGCAACACGGGAGATCCCTAAAACAAGGAAATGGTTGTACCTAGAATATCTTTCATTATGACATGTTGATGCAAATAAGGGGGGAAAGTAAGACAAACCAAATGCACAATAGCATTAAACTTATGTTTCCCTTTGAAGTATGGCTGTAAGATTGAGGAACTCCTGCTAAGTTAACAGGCACAGTGACCTTAAAGATAACATCAGGGGCTGTATTGCTCAGAAATCCTATCTCGGAATATTCTTTCAGCTTCTCTCTCAATCCCCATGACAGGGTCCTGGAGAACTGGGGTCCTGCCCCAGGTGCCAAGCTTTAAAGAGACTTGCTCGGCCATCCCTCTGTCTGCAGCCTTCCCCATGGGGCAATGGGGGAGTAACTGCCTGGAGTCCACACCCCACTTCTCCAGGTACCCAGGATCCTGGGTTTATAGCTTGAGTCTCTTCCCTGGGACTGTGTGTGTATCCCTAGACTCATGGGGTGGCCAAGGAGCAGCTGTTGGCAGGGTTGGACACAGACCTGGGGCTTCTAGATTGGAGGGTCCACAGAGTGTGGGATGGATCTGGGGGTGGGAATAGTCAGGGATCTGCAGGGGGGATGCTTCTCCCCATGCTGCTGAGTTCACAAAACTTCCCAGAGTGTGAGAATTGTAGACTGGAGCCTGGCCTTCTGGATGAATGAAGCTACATTTGTTCAGGCAGGAGGACAGAGTATATTTTCTTCAACACTTTGTCAGCTTGTTTTATACACTTCCCCTGGGCCCCACACGGAGCAGGGCAGGCTTGGAGAACGAAGACCTGATGCTAAAACACAGGCTCATCCAAACCTCTTCAAAGCCAGGTGCTTCCATCTATCTCTGGAAAGAGGACACCGGTCCCAGCTGCGTCTCTCATCTGGCAGGAGAAGGAGGCTTTCACAATGAAGGAAACCAGCCTCTTCTTAGGGGCCGCAGAAATATGGAGGCTGACATCTACCCCTAAAC